TACATGATTTCTAGTGCTCTGTGCAGCTTTCTAGACCATAATTAGCTCCTATGGTTGAGAATACTTCTTATTATCAAAGGTTCCACATTTCTTCATCGCGTTCTCATCCGGAATAGCCCAAATCAACTTTACCAGAAAATCTAAGATACTTTCAGAAATTCGTGATCTTTCCTCGATTTTGCAGAATTTGTCAGTATTTGCGCATATCCTCACTTTTTTGCTTGTCCTCCGAAGCAATCGAAAATAATTCCGGAATTGGCAGAAAGTGCCAACTAAGAGTAAAATGCTTGATATTTATTTCATTGAGAAGTTTTCTCTTCTCAAAAATACATGAAAACAATACCAAAAATCTACTCGTGATTTTAATTGAACGACTGTGCACATGCAGGAGCCGGTCATTTTCGTACTCGGTGTGTGCCTAATAAGTTGTAATTGCGGCGCTTTCCCTTTCTTTACTTTAGCGGTATGGTTTTTTAAAATTATTTGGAGCAATAAAAAAACATATATACGGATATACACATGGGGGTTTTCCATGCAACATCTCTATTTGTTGACTAAAACCTTTGATATTTTACCAGTCATAGTGCCAATACGGAGCTAATAATCTACTAGAGTTTTGATTATATATCGTTCCGAAAACTTTGATGATCGGGTGTCTTTATTTCAAATATCAGAAAACTTGTTTCTATATTGAACTGATGACTTTTAACAGAAGTGATTTTGACTGATATTTGAAATAAAGACACTCGATCATCGAAGTTTTCGAAACGATATATAATCAAAACTCTAGTAGATTATTAACTCCGTATTGGCACTATGACTGGTAAAATATCAAAGGTTTTAGTCAATAAATAGAGATGTCGCACTGAAAAATAAGTCGGAGTATCTGGTCAGACTGGGCAACTCCATATATTTTGAGATGTAACTAGCCTGATTTAATGAAAGTATATGAACTAGGCCTATCACCAGCTTTTCACAACATGTTAGAAAGACACGAAATATGCAGTTAATAGCTTTCTCAGCAGATATCATCACATGGCCCACCTGAATCAAACAGGCACATCCTTAGAACAATTCGAAAAGCTTTTTGATAATGTCAATTTGACTTACTTTATTGTAGCACCAACTTGTCAGGATCGAATTAAGAACCAAGATGAAACTGATATTGATTGTGGTGGTACAGAGTGTTCTGAATGTTCACTCAATAAAGCTTGTTTGGTCAATTCGGATTGTTTTACTAACGATTGCAGTACAAGTTCGAAGACATGCACAGGTAAATAGTCATTCTGCTCAACATAGTATTTTGCTATAGTGATTTAGCAAAGTCATTAATACATTAGGAGATCCCAGATCTTCTATTTTGTTTTATCGTGTATGAGTTCAATGGAGGTCTTTTATCATACGTCTTAGAAAAGTCATATATTAGGATAGTATCCACGATATCTTTTTATTTTGATTTGCTTGAGCGTGATAAAAACGCGAGTAGATTCGTACAAAAGAATATGTAGGTATAGCGCAGGAGGCTAAATCATGGATAAGAAGACTTTCCTCACTATTTTCATCTTTCAAAGAGATTTTTTTACGTATGCTACGTCTGTCGCGTTTATTATAGTGTAGAATTACTACGAGAACGACTATTTTTTAAATCGTAATATAAGTTCAAAATATTTTCTTTCGTGAAGTTATGTGTTTTCTACTCACGTTTCTTTTCTTGTCAGATTGTTATCACCAAATAATCAGTTCAATTCTAATCTATTGGTAAGATAACTGCGATAAGATGTGATTCAAACTGAACTCAGATATAAATGTGCTCATAGAAACTAAAAAATGATGCGACTTGATTTTAATTCTAGTCTGTCTTTTACATTACTTTTTTAAAAGTGCATTGATTCGGTTTCTCTAATGCTTTCATTCTTCATTCTGTCACAGCAAAAACTTTCTAATTGATTACATGCTATTCTAGTGAAGTCTGGTATCCCACGTGGAGGTGGTGGAGGCTCACCTTTTAACGATTTAAATGTGATCGGTTCATATGGAAGAACTATTCCCACATCAATCATTGTAAGAAGTGGTATCTTAATCGATGCCATTCAAGTGACCTATGAGACGAGTAACCAAACACAAGGTTCAGTAGTCACACAAGCACCCGTAAGAGGTAGGACTAGTGGAACACAGCACCGGTTCGATCTACTTCCTGGCGAAACAATCGTGACAGTTAGCGGACGTAGTGCAGGGACAGTTATTGGCTTGCAGTTTACAACAAGTACAGGAAGAGTAAGCTCCTATTATGGTGATTATGATGGCACAGCATTTACCGAACAGTATTCTGGTTATGTTTTATCGTATATAAGTGGTCGATGCGCAGATGCATTAGATCAAATACAGTTTGTTTGGATTCGCGGGTGACTATAAAAAAGATGACGGTGAAAACGTACGTGTTGTGGCAGACATCATTTTCATTCCAGGCATTTGCTTTATCTTTTCGTTGTCTTTTTTGCTTTGGTCTACACTGAAATAAAAACCCGGCGTTTAATCAACCCTCAAAAAGGGTTTATCAGTTTGCAACGTATAACAAACCCTTCGTGGGTTTTTGAAGAAGAAGGGGTAGATCAGATTGATGAACAAATTTTTCATAAACCCTTTTTGAGGGTTGATTAAACGCCGGGTTTTTTAAAGAGTGTATGTAATCTCATATTCTTTTCTCTTTGCTCTTATATTAAATTCTAGATTCTTAGTATCTAGTACAAGTAATCCGCAATTCGGACCTCGTCGGATCCGACAATTTCCGACACTTGGATCCAACAGATTTTTATGCCCACAGTTTTCATTGCTTTTTTTAAATTTTATATTTGCATATATTCATTTATTGAAATTATTTTATACAACATAACGAAAAAACGATTCTACAAAAAAAGAAAAATAAATACGTAGAAAACAGATTTTACCTAAGGGATGTTTTCATAGAAAAACTTTTAAAACTTATTAGAGTAAAAAAAGAGAAAGTTTAAACAAAATACTCAATTCCAATATGAAAAAACTAAAATAAAACTATCAATCTATAGAAAAAAGAAGTTTAAATAAACTATTTCGTTCTAAAATGGAAGAAATTGTTAATCTATAAAAGAAAAAATTTTAAATAAAATAAAATTGCTAACAACATTTTTTTACAACGTAATTCGAGTAAAACGGAAGTCAAACCACTGTATACTGTCGAAGGAATGAACGAAATGAGAAATTTTTTTCATATAGATCGTCACATGACTTGCTGACCATCTAGAAAAACTGTTAATATATGTCGTTTAAATATACAGTTAATCTTTTTAAATAATAAACACATACTTCTTGCAAACATACTAATAGATGTCAGCTATTATGACTCGAATATTATATAAAGATCATTGACAAACCTATCACGAGTAAGAATTGGCTGAAATAGATTACATGGTATTGGATAATACAAAGCTCTGATGGTTTCGACCTGGGTAAACACGTTCTGATCTAAGGTTTGATATTTTAATTCTCTATGCTGTATCTTCTATCTATGCATATAAAGCAGAAAGTTTGTTTGTTTGTTCGCTATGCATTCAGTCTCCATAGCAGCTACGGTCGCCTAACTTTCCACGATGCTTCCTCAGGCCACATAGAATGTCGATATGTACCTTACCCTTCCCCCAAAAAAGTGGGTCCTGTGTCTGCTACGAACTGCTTATGAAACTGATCAATAGGATTGTAGCGTTTCCAAAAATCAAAAAAGTGATCGCGGAGACAGCCAAAGGCCATTTGAGCGCTCATGTATAGGAATTCGTATGTAACATCTATATATTTCTCGATTCTATCTATCTATATAAATATTTAAAGGAGAAGGTTTGTCTGCCTTCTGTTCGATACGCATTAAATATCTCTAACAGCTAACGGCATCAATCTTTCCATGATGTTTCCAAAAGTTCAAGCAAAACTTACGATACAGTTTGATTCACAAAAAAAGGTCAGAGGAGATATATGAATGAAATTTTATCCAAATCATATTAAATGGAAAATTTTATATATTCAAAAATTATTATAGTTTCGATTTTAATCATTGAATTGTCTTACCCAAGGATGAGGATGGAAGTAAAAGGTTTTTAGTCTTTTCTACATGTAAAGAAGACATTTTTCTGTCTGTTTGTGAAAGATGCATTCAGCTCATACGATGGCTATGGTCATCAGCACTCTCTATGATACTTCCCTTGGGCTAGAGAAAAGTTGGCAGAGGATCTGCATCTTTCAGATGGAGATTGGAAGGGCAGTATCTGTGTAAAATTTTCGTCAATCTTTGAAAACTGAAGAGAATTTGTCACGATTTTAATATTGATTATTCGCATCAATAGCTTTGATATCTAAAGAAGATTACCGACAATCAGACGACCACAGGGGAGGAGAGTCATTTGAGTGAGTTTTCACTCACATGATTTTTCGTCACTTGGTGTTATCAAACCTTGCACGAAAATCCTTTAGACTCAGAGAGAGATCGAAGCAGAGTGGAGACGACTATTAAATGTCCGAGAGAGAGGAGGCCGAGCGAGATTTCACCCGATTGGTGTGTACTATTCATTAGAGTAACTTAAATAAGCTTTCATAAATCATCGACGATATGTAGTAGGTTTTTCGATTTCTCTCTCTTCAAGTTATTTAGGATTGTGGCACTTTTAAGTAAGAATGACTGAAAATTAAGACATGCACATCCACACAAAAACACTCAACAAAGTGATGTCTCAACGGGCGTTAGCGCTTGTATCTGAGAAGGACAACGGAAATTGCACAGTTGTTTTCTGAAGTGGGAAGAAATTGGAAGTTGCAGAACAACATCAAGGAAGGCATGGAGGGTGCAGTTGTAGCGAAAGTTATAACAAGAGAAATCATTTTCTGAGCGAGACATCCAAGAGAAGGGTTTATTTTTTGTCACGGGATACGTTGGAATGCGTGATGCGTGGAATTTTAGCGGAAGTCGAAACAAGACAATAATGATTACAGCTAAACAAATAAGAAAACTTATGAGTTTTACAACTGGTGTCGGTACAAGTGAGGAATGTGAGGGTGAGGATGTCATGGAACGGGTAAATCCTGATAAAAGAGGTACGTTTTAATGGTCACTTCCGTAGAACAAAATTGAAAAAACTAATTCGATAGTACTTAAATTTTTTTGAAATATCCATGCCTACATTTAGCGTCTTTCGCTCTGCAAGGTCATTTTTCAATGTAAATATGTCTTCAATGCCCGCTAGTACACGGTTGGAAAAAATATTATTCCAGGAGGGTAACTCCATCATTTTAACTGGAGTAGATGATGAATTATATACCAAATGAAAGTCCGTGAAAAATGGAATTTATTGATACTAAATAGTGAGGGCTATGAAGACCTTAGTGTATCAAACTCTCGAAGTTTATATAATTCTGTAAAATACAAAAGTTATGAGCTGCTTTTACCGGCTTGAAAGGCCAAAAACAAGAAAATTTCTCAGAAAAAACTAAAGAGGGTATGCTGTAGTGGTCATGTAACGCATCCCCGACTGAAAGGATATTATTATCTTTTCACGTTCTGCTATATATGCCTCGTGGTAGAAATTAATAGTGACTTTTTTGTTTTTCTTCTGAAAGAAAGCTACAAAAGAGAAAACTTTAAATAGTTCGTGAAGCTCGCGATGCTGGTGCAGCATTTATTAATCGACAATGGATCGCGGAGAAAATTCACCGCATAACCCGTTTTGTCACAGAATGGTGGGAAAAATCATATGACCAATGCTTTACTGACTATTCAAACGCCGGTTGCAAGCTCAGATTATCACAAGCAAGTGGTCGACAAGGAAAAAGGTGTTCTGTTGTGGCGAGACAGATTGCAGAAGAGCACTCAATAATTATTGTCATAGAGAAGGATTGAAGCCATTTCATGTTATTGCAAAGCCATTAAAAACTGAAACTCATATATCAAATCGTTTATGGTTATGCGACTGGTTAGAAAAATTGGACTGAAGAAGACTTTTTTCATCTTGCACCACCTAACGAGTTTTATGTCTGGATTGTTCGTAGACCGAATTATCAAAATGATAGAATTTGGGCCTTAAATGTCGAAGATATTGAAGATGATGAAAGGTACCGTGAAATGGTCCAAAATCAAGTATGCACTGGGATTTTTATTGTGTTTACTTGCAAGAGATTACTTTGGGTGATTAAAGGTAAGGGCGAGTCTTTGACTGACGATTATTTTCGTGACATAATTCCAACTCAAAATGTAATACATTTTTTTTCAGTGATGAAGAAAATGTTATTGATCCTGATGAAGTTACATTTGTTCATGATAAGGCACCGTGTATGCGAGCAAATAAAACCCAACATTTGCTTCAAGACAACAATGTGAAGTTTTGGGGCAATGGCATCTGGCCAGGAAATTTGCCTGATCTCAATGTAGCAGAACGTATTGGATCAATAATGAAAGATGAAGTTGAGAAAAAAATGTTATCAGAAACTGGACATAATTGATATCTTGAGGACACACTCAAAGTGCATCTTGCAAACGTTTTGAGCAATATCGAGACAGACACTGATTTATTCCAAATACTTTTACGTTCGTATCTATCACGTGTCCGTGCACTGAGGAAAGCTAACGGTCGTCACACTCATTATTGATTCTATTCATTAAATGTTGAAAAAATAAACTATTTTCGTACACATTTAGTTTGAATTTCGCTTCGGAAATAGCTTTCCTCTTACTTCATGTCAATGAAATATAATAAGTTCTGAAAGTTTAATACACTAAGGTCTTCATAGCCCTCACTATTTAGTATCAATAAATCCCATTGTTCACGGGCTTTCATTTGGTATAAAATTCATCATCTACTCCATTTAAAATGATGGTGTTACCCTCCTGGAATAATATTTTTTCCAACCGTGTACTGTTAAAAAAGGCGACATACTGAAACGTAAAAGTTTGAAGATTTTCGTACCAGTTTGAAGATCTTTTATGATTGGAGCAGAATCTGGCTTTATTCAAAACTTTCTTCGATTTGCGTAAAACTCGTGTTAGCCCTCCAGAGAATAGCTTATTTTAGTCGCTTCACATTCAATTTTTTATTGATTCTATACTTAATTACTTATTCTTGTCTCTTACTTACCAAATCTACCCTTAGCATATATTTAACCGCCTGTTTCTATACTTAATTGTCTATTTCTATCTAAGCGTGTTGTACGCTATCTACTTCTATTCTTTATTATAATTTTATCGTAAAGAGAATTCTCCTTGGTCTATCGTTACTTTTACGGCGCATCTTATTCTTGAAAGCCTCTTTGACAAGTATAGGCATTGTTGTACGGTAAAATATGGTAAGAGATCCCAGCATATCAGATTATAATTCGATTCGTGTGAACAAAGATAATATTAGTGAGAAACTGAAATCTTCTGAATCAAATTAGCATTGATTCGTCGAATTACAGTTGATTACCATTTTCACTTTCGTACAGAAAAATCGAATTATGATTGGGATATGATGGGCTCTAATGTCATCTGTCTGACAGCGCTTACATTCAGGTCTTTCAAAAATAGTAAGTTAAAATTTTTTAATATATTCATAAATGTATAAACCAACTTGCTTTCAAAGGATACGAAAATATACCGAGTTTCGTGTGTGCGGAATCATTTGGTTTTTTCTTATATGTTTTTTTAATTGTCTAAAATCTTTTGATGGTTTATTGATAAATGAATAAAACCTTAAATAGTTCTCTATAACGCGCTTCTTTTACAGAGTAGCCTTCGGCAGGTTTCACCAAGACCAACTATTGATACAATCGTCTATATGCATATTTCGAACTAAAACAAATGAAAACTGCACTAACAGATATTACTGAATACTCAGAACAACACTTTTATTTGTACTACTTAGTGTCGCAGAACAAAACGGTGAATTATTAGCTAAGAAATTAGAAATCTAAATCTGATTTTCGGTATTTCTAGTCAACTCAGGAGTTCCTCTCTAACAAGATCGATTTCGCTTGGATTTCACTTGATCCTTTATGAGTTGAATACGATTTCATATAAATATGATGTAAATTTCTGCAATGCACAAGGAAGCTCTTATAGGTTCTGCTGTGACTTGGAGCGATTCTCCACAACTCTCCGTAGTTGCGAATGCCTTGTCTCAATCATTTCGGTGTTTACTGACATTTGAGAGGTTTTGAGTAGGTTCGAACTTCAAGCTTTGGAAAATGATCATCATTCGATCACTGTGAGGCTAGCACGACAAAATGGTGTGTTACCTAAACACTTTTTTACTAAATAAGCCCCGCCCTTGAAATCTACACCATTCGACTCAGAATTTATTTCTGCATCGAATGGTGATGTTTTTATTCATGAGATAAGCTTTGGAAAAAATTTTATCTAATTACATCTTAATTCTTTTTCTATATGAGAGAAAATTTAAAATAGAATTTTTCTTGAAGTTTGTTACGTAGATATAGACATCACCATTCGATGCAGAATTAAATTCTGAGTCGAATGGCGCAGCTTTGATGGACGAGGCTTATTTAGTAAAAGCGTTTTTAGTTCACACATCGCTTCGTCGTGCTAGCTTCACAGTGATCATCACTGGACCGTTTTGGCGTTCCTTTTTGGTTAATTTGTAGCATTGTAGTGAAGAACGTTTACTCGTGAGAGACTGTATGGATTTTTATTAGTATTTAATTTGCTATATTCATTTTGGATTAATGCAAAAAAATCCTACGTTTCACCACTGGATGTGTGCTGAAATCAGTGAACTTCTTAAACAACATAGAAAATTCCTCAAACATGAAGAAATCACCTTGTTCTAGTTTAAATATTTAGAAAAATACAGATCGACTAATATCCTTGGATTGAGAATCCAAATATCACATTTGAAATACGTGCAGTGTTTAAGACGCCGGACTTCGGCTACTCTCCAGTGAATCGGAAAACATTGGATAGGATCCGTATCCGGGAGCTCGTAAATAAAACACGGAAACACTATCAGGATCCGTTCGCGATACTGCAACCGAATCCGTGTTTCGAATCTTGATTCAGTAATGCTCCGGAATTGGACCGGAAACGGAATCGGAATACGGCTTCCGAGTCCTTCTTCAGGAATTCGCGGGAATTCTGACGGATCCGGATGATTCCCGCCGTACAGCTTTGACCTGGGAATGAATGGACAGTCATACGCCAATATACATGAAAACTACTATACATACTTTTTCTTGCATTACATATTCTGTTCATCTTATCAGATTGATCAATCACGTGAGCTATTTCGAAATAAAATATCATATAACAGTATAATATCGTCATTAATAAGATAATAACACATGTAGTTGACATTGAATGAACTATTGAAATCGCTATCAATACATGATAATAAAATTAACCAAATTGATCTTGCACGTACGACATGAAATGAATAAAATTCTAAATTACATGTAGCGAGATTGACATTAAAACTATTGAAAACAATAGGTACAGGTAAAACAATAAATATAACAAATAAATTAAAGAATTTTGAAGCAAGAAAATACAACGAAGATGGTCCATATGTTTACGAAATGAGCGAGTGAAAACAAATATATTCAATATAAGACCGATAATGTCAGGAAAAAAATAAAATAATGATACGGTCAGTGCAAGTATAGCTGTTACCGTATTCAAATGGTTTATTACTTCAGTATTACGACTTTGAGTTCTTTTAAAAGACAAAAATCCAACTAAAAAAAATTCTACGGAGATCCTTCTTTTTTTCATTAAAACGATGTGCTATTAATAAAAGCTTGTCAGCGCAGCCCCTTTGGGGCTAAAATGTGGAACTCACATACTTGCTTTTGGAAAACGAGATTATGGATTAGAATAAAATACTTAAGGAGTAAGCGCTGTCAGACAGATGACATTAGAGCCCATCATATCCCAATCATAATTCGATTTTTCTGTACGAAAGTGAAAATGGTAATCAACTGAAATTCGACGAATCAATGCTAATTTGATTCAGAAGATTTCAATTTCTCACTAATATNCTGCCTTCTGTTCGATACGCATTAAATATCTCTAACAGCTAACGGCATCAATCTTTCCATGATGTTTCCAAAAGTTCAAGCAAAACTTACGATACAGTTGGATTCACAAAAAACGGTCAGAGGAGATATATGAATGAAATTTTATCCAAATCATATTAAATTGAAAATTTTACATATTCAAAAATTACTATAGTTTCGATTTTATTCATTGAATTGTCTTCCCCAAGGACGAAGATGGAAGTAAAAGGTTTTTAATCTTTTCTACATGTAAAGAAGAAATTTTTCTGTCTGTTTGTGAAAGATGCATTCAGCTCATACGATGGCTATGGTCATCAGCACTTTCTATAATACTTCCCTTGGGCTAGAGAAAAGTTGGCAGAGGATCTGCATCTTGCAGATGGAGATTGGAAGGGCAGTATCTGTGTAAAATTTTCGTCAATCTTTGAAAACTGAAGAGAATTTGTCACGATTTTAATATTGATTATTCGTATCAATAGCTTTGATATCTAAAGAAGATTAGCGACAATCAGACGACCACAGGGGAGGAGAGTCATTTGAGTGAGTTTTCACTCACATGATTTTTTTGTCACTTAGTGTTATCAAACCTTGCACGAAAATCCTTTAGACTCAGAGAGAGATCGAAACGGAGTGGATACGACTATTAAATGTCCGAGAGAGAGGAGGCCGAGTGAGATTTCACCCGATTGGTGTGTACTATTAATTAGAGTAACTTAAATAAGCTTTCATAAATCATCGACGATATGTAGTAAGTTTTTCAATTTCTAACTCTTCAAGTTATCTAGGATTGTGGCACTTTTAAGTAAGAATGACTGAAAATTAAGACATGCACATCCACACAAAACACTCAACAAAGTGATGTCTGAATGGACGTTAGCGCTTGTATCTGAGAAGGACAATGGAAATTGCACAGTTGTTTTCTGAAGTGGGAAGAAATTGGAAGTTGCAGAACAACATCAAGGAAGACATGGAGGGTGCAGTTGTAGCGAAAGTTATAACAAAAGAAATCATTTTCTGAGCGAGACATGCAAGAGAAGGGTTTTGTTTTTTGTCACGGGATACGTAGGAATGCGTGATGCGTGGAATTTTAGCGGAAGTCGAAACAAGATAATAATGATTACAGCTAAACAAATAAGAAAACTTATGAGTTTTACAACTGTTGTCGGTACAAGTGAGGAATGTGAGGGTGAGGATGTCATGGAACGGGTAAATCCTGATAAAAGAGGTACGTTTTAATGGTCACTTTCGTAGAACAAAATTTAAAAAACTAATTCGATAGTACTTAAACTTTTTTGAAATATCCATGCCTACATTTAGCGTCTTTCGCTCTGCAAGGTCATTTTTCAATGTAAATATGTCTTCAATGCCCGCTAGTACACGGTTGGAAAAAATATTATTCCAGGAGGGTAACACCATCATTTTAAATGGAGTAGATGATGAATTTTATA